TCTCCCTGTAGCTCCAGCTGTCCTGGAACTCACTATGTAGACCAGGCTGGCCTTGAACTCACAGATATACGCCTGCCTCTGCCTCCTGAGTGCTGGGATTAAAGGCGAGTGCCACCACGCCTGGCTGGGGGGCGGGGGATTTATTTTTGTCTTTTGCTTGCAATGCCCGTGGAGGTCAGAAGAGGGCGTGAGATCCCCTGGAACTGGAATTCTCGATGGTTGTTAGCCGCCTTATGGGTGCTGTTAATGGATCCCTGGGTCCTGTGCAAGAGCAGCCAGTACTCCTAGCTGCTAAGTCATTTCTCCAGCCCCAGTCAGGAATTCTTTGTCAAGAGAGAAGTTGTAACTTCAGCATGAATCTTAACTGGCTTGAAAGGTGGGTGACCCAACTGCATCAGTTCTCTGGTCCTCAGTTTCGCCACAAACTGAACGAGGCAGAAGCTTTGTGGTACTGCTCTCATAGTAGTTTTCCAATCTGAGGCTCTGAGCGTCTGTAACACGAGGGTGGGAATACGGCTCAGTGCCAGAGCACTTGCCCAGTATCCCCGAGGCCACGGGTTCAAAAGGGAGTTGGGGGGAGTTGGGTTTCAGGTCCTGAATTGGTTGGATGTGAACTCACTGGTCATGGGTAAACAGTTTGCTTTTGGGGTCCAGGCAGCAAGTCACAGGGCACTTAATTTATTTTATCTTATATTTTTTTAATTAAAAAAAATCTTTTAAAAAATTTTATGTGTATGGATAAACAGTTTGCTTTTGGGGTACAGGCAGCAAGTCACAGGGCACCAATCCTGGTTAATTTATTTTATTTTATATTTTTTAATTAAAAATATTTTATTTTTATTTTATGTGTATGAGTGTATTGCCTGCATGCATGTGAGTGCACCCCTGTCGTGGAATGCCGTGGAGGTCAGAAGAGGGCTTCGGATTCCCTTGGGACTGGAGTTAAGGACGGTTCGTAGCCGCGGTGTGGGTGCTGGGAATCGAACCCAGGTCCTCTGCAAAAGCAGTTAGTGCTCTTAACCGCTGAGCCATCTCTCTAGCCTCCTGGTTAATTTATTAACACACTTGTCTACACTAGCACCTTAACCTGGTCAGTGTTAGGGTTCCAAACAGCAACAGTTTCCCTCCTCCCCAACAGGGACCTCTCCTCTGATCGCCAAAGATAAGCAGATTCTACCCGTTAACCAGAGATTTTAGAAGCTGTTTATCACAACAAGCTTTTCTCTTATCTTAAGAGAGAAAAAGTAAACACTTCCAGACCCTAATCCCACCTGGCAGACTGAACGGAGCCAGGCTTTTCCTGCTTCCCCCTTCCTGATTTCTCCCTCAAACATTCCCCCCTTCCACACCCTAAAGCCCCCATATATAAAGTCCCAGCTCACAACCCATGGGTTGATATCTTTCCCTGACATCTTTCCCTGCCCTTCCCTGACATCCTTCCCTGACATCCTTCCCTTCCCTGACATCCTTCCCTTCCCTGATATCCTTCCCTTCCCTGACATCTTTCCCTTCCCCGAGGGAAAGGTGCCCCGTGCGAAATAAATCTGTCCCGTGAGCTGACATCTTTCCCTTCCCTGACATCTTTCCCTTCCCTCCCCTCCCCTCCCTTCCCTTCCCCTTCCCTTCCCATCTTTCCCTTCGCTTTCCCTTCCCTAACATCTTTCCCTTCGCTGACATCTTTCCCTTCCCCAAGGGAAAGGTGCCCCGTCTGAAATAAATCTGTATCCTGCTGAGAATTCCATCTGTGCCTCAGTGCCTCCTCCATCCGCCCGGTGCCACCTCTTCCTGAACCCCGGGCCTGGAGTTATTTCAAAAACCTCAGAGCTAGTCAAACCTGAGCTTGCGCAGTGGCAGTGTGGCCAGAGAGCCGAGGTCCAGTCGCCAGCCGTCCCGGAGATTCATCAAATCCCGCGAGATCTGGCACTGGGTCCCGGTACCGGAAGCTGGGGGAAGCCGGAGGAGAGGGAGCAATCTCCGTAACCGAGTGACCCTTGGGCAGCCTCTCGGAGCTCCTGGTGACGGTGGCGGTATTTCCCGGGGCTCTAGCTAGGGAACACCACTAAGCAGGTGCCGGGCACGATAGTGTTTGAGGCGCCTCTAGGACTTGAACATTTATTGAGCACCTACCTTGGGCCGTGCATAGAGGGCGGACTTAAGTCACTGAACCAAGCTGACACCAATCTTATTTCTGCTGACGATCGGGAAGTCGGTTTGAAATCCTGGGCACATGATTAGTAATTTCTGACAGTGGTTAGTAGGCGCTTGTAGGGCAAAGTTAGGTCACCGAGAAAAGGTAGAGCCATGTTGGGATTGTCACCAACCATGGGGAGAGAAAAGGGGTGGCAGAGGACAAAGAAAAGGTCAACTTGTCAGTTGTGGCAAAATGATTAAAATAAGGTTAGGCATGTTTTATTAAAAGGCGTTAGGGGCACTGGATTCGATTCCACAGCACCTTATTAGGAAGCTAAGTGTGTGTACAAGTTATGTGACTTTGGACAAATCATTCAACCTCTATACCTTTATCTTCTGTAAAATGGAGACGGTATTAGTTTCATACTGGTGGTGTTTGGGGAAGGAGTAGTATTTAAACGAGATAGTGGCTAGGTTTTCAGTTTTTATATTTTATCTGTACTGGAGATTGAACCCAGGATCCCCTACACATGTTAGGCAAGTGTGCTATAGTGTTGGAATACACTCCAATCTTTTCTCAATGTTTATTTTGAGACAAGGTCTCACTAAGTTGCCCAGGCTGGCCTCCAACTTGCAGTCTCTCTGCCTCAGCCTCCCCAGTAGCTGAGATTACAGCCCTACACCACCATACCCAGAGCAAATAAAACTCATTGGCCCAGTTCTTTGGCACCTGGGAACATTCAGGAAACAAGCCAAGAAAAGGGACTTCTCCAAGATCCCACTTGGCTTAGAAGCAGGACATGTTCTCTGCTCTTATGAATTTACTGACCTTTCCCTTATACAGGGCTGCTATGCAGACACTTGGCATTTCTTATGACTGGCACCAAAGCAAATCTTTCAGTGGTATATTTGGTATGGTAGTTGGTAGCAGAGGCTCCCTCACCCCTCAGATCCTGAATTTGGTATGTGTTATTTTAGATGGAAATATGAGTAGTCAAGTTTGTTCATTGTTTCATTCATTTGTTGTTCCATTCATCTTTTGGGGGGGACTAGGGGTGCTGGGGCTCCAACTCAGGGCAGGGTCTTTATATTTTGAGTGTGTTGTTTGTTGTGCTATTCAGATAGCATAGTTATCCTTCACTAATTTATTGTATTTGACACATGAAAATTTCTGATTTGGTACAGAGGGAGAGAACTACTATAGTGTTTTTTTCATGATGATAAACAGTGTTTGGACATATATGCAGTTTGACTGATTGATTGATTGATTGATTGATTGATTTGCAATGCAGGGTTAAACAGAGCTTTGTGAACTACATCCCAAATCCTTAGTTTTTTTTTTTTTGTTTTTTTTAAGACAGGGTCTTCATGTAACCTAGGCTGGCCTTGAACTTGATTCTCCTGCCTCAGCCTCTGGAGGGCTGGGATTACAGGCATTCACCACCATGCTGTCTATATTATACTTTTTGAAAAAAATATTTTATTTGTTATTTTTGTTTTATGTGTATGAGTGTATTACCTGTACATATGTAAGTGTGCCCTTGTCATGCAATGACCTTGGAGGTCAGAAGAGGGTGTTGGATTCCCCTAGAACTTGAGTTACAGTTATGAGCTGCTATGTGGGTACTAGGAATTGAACTTGGGTCCCCTGGAAGAACAGCTGTTCTTATAACTGCTTAGCTGTCTGTACAGCCCCTTACGTTTTTTGTTGTTGTTGTTGTTGTTGTTGTTGTTTTTGAGACAGGGTCTCTTGTTCAAACTGGCCTCAAATTTTGCTATGTAGCTGAGGCTGGCCTTTGAGCTCCTGATTCTTTTGTATCTGCCTCCCAAGTGCTGGATTAGAGGTGAGATGTACCATGCTTGGTATGCATATTTGGAAGAAAGCATCCTGCTGAAAGTAGAGAACAAATATGAAACTTCACTTCTGTGGTGGTTAACATTGAATGTCAACAGGATCTAGAAGAATCTAAACAGACAAGCTTCTGGGCACACCGCTGAGGAATTATCTTAATTAGATTAATTGAGGCTGGAAGACCCATCCTGAAATTTGGTGGCCCCATTCCCTAGGCTTGGGTCTTGGACTGCATAAAAAGGAGAAAGTTGGCTGAGCACCAGCATTCCCCACTCTGCTTCTTGATTGTGGATGTGTTGTGACCAACTGCCTCAAGCTCCCACTGCTGTGACTCCCCACCATGATGGACTAAACTCTCAAACTGTGAGCCAGAATAAACCTCTTCTCCCTTAAGTTGCCTTTGTCAGGGTATTTTATCACAGCAATAGGAAAAGTAAGACAACTTGGAAACACTCCTTTGACAATTTAGCCATGGTAGCCACTCAAGGGCAGTCTGATCTACTTTATTTGAACAATCTTGCTTCTTAATATTTATATAATTTCCATACATGGTTATTCCAATAGAAAATGTCTCTGGGTGTGATGACATGTACTTGTAGTCCTAGCTACTCAGGAGACTGAGGCAGGAAAATCACTAGAACCTAGAAGTTTGACCTGGACTTAATGATGTTAATGATGTGATGAAACAAGATGCATACAGCACCATCTTTTTTTTTTTTTTTGGTCTTAATTTTGAGACAGGGTCTCCCTGTAGCTCCAGCTGTCCTGGAACTCGCCATGTAGACCAGGCTGGCATTGAACTCACAGAGATCTGCCTGCCTCTGCTGGGATTAAAGACATGCACCACCACGCCTGGCTAGCACCATTTTTAAAGTGTCCTGCCTAAAAAAATTGAAACTGATACACTGGCTTCATATGTGCCAGGCCCTGGGTTCAGTCCCCACTTGGGGGATTGAATCTAAAGCCTCTGTGTCTGCCTACCACTAGAAATGAGAAACTAGACAAACAAGCCTGATAACTGAGGAAGCAATCAACATTCTACAGACAGAAGGGTGAAGAAAGAAAGCAGTGACATAAACCTTTAGAAAGGGATGTGAGACTCCAAATGTAATCTATGAACCTTGAATCCAAATTCTGCTGATCAACTGTAAAACCATCATTGAGACAACTGGGCAGTTTGACTCTGCACTAGGTATTAAGAGAATCCCTGTGCTATTCTCTTAATAATAGCATAGTATTTAAAAGTCTGTTGCAGGGGCTGGAGAGATGGCTCAGTGGTTAAGAACACTGATTGTTCTTGCAGAAGACCTGAGTTCGAATCCCAGCACCCACATGGCAGCTAACAACTGTCTGTAACTCCAGTCCCAGGGGATCCAACAGCCTCTTCTGACCTCTGCAGGCATTGCATGAATGGGTGCACTTACCTACATGCAGGCAATACATGCATACATATAAAATAAAAATAAATAAAATTAAAAAAAATAAAAGTCTGTTGCCAAAGATGCAATTTCCTCATCTTTAAGATAGGGAGGCAGCTGGTGAGATGGCTCAGCAGGTAGGAGGCATTTGCAAGCAGGCCTGATGACCTGAGTTCCATCCTTGGATCCCACAAGGTGGCAGGAGAGACGTGACTCCCTCTGACCTGTACCCAAGTATTGTGGCATGTGCACACCTGCACATGTATACACACATACGTGCGCACACACACACACACACATACACACAATGATGGGGATGATAATATTGTTAGGTGATTGAATGAGAGACCTGTAAGTTGAAGATTTTAAAATGCTTTGATGTAGCTGGATGTGATGATGTGTCTGTAATCGCAGTTACTTGGAAGGTTGAGGCATGAGGATTGCAAGGTAAAAGCCATCCTGGACAACTTAGGCAGATACTGTCTCAAATTTATTTCTTTTTAAAGGGCTACAAATGGAGTTCAGAGATAGAATATTTTCCTAGCCATGAACAAGGTCCTGGGTTCAACTACCAGTACTACAAAGAGAGAGAGAGGGAGAACATGCTTTGCTGTTTTATAGTCAGCAAAACTATCCATTTTGATAAACATATAAAACTTTTAAGAGCTAGGTATGGTGACAAAACCTGTAATCCAAAACTTAGGAGGCAAAGGAAGGCCAGCCTGGATAAAATTCTGTCTGTCTGTCTATCTGTCTATCATCTATCCATCTAAAAATGCCTGGAGAGATAGCTCAGCTGATAAAGTGCTTATGTGGGTCCATGTGTAGTCATGTGTAAGTGCCTGCAGAAGTCAGAAGTATTGGATTCCTCTGGAGTTACAGGCTCAGGTCCTCTGGAACAGTAGTACCTGCTCTTAACCACTGAGCCCTCTCTCCAAGCCCACCCTCATCCCTACCTTTAAAGTATTTAGAGACAGCATCTTTACTCAGTAGCCCAGGCTAGCCTCAAATTCATGGCAGTCCTCCTACATCAGCCTCTTGAGTACTAGACACTAGCTACTTAAAAAAAAAATGGGCTGGAGAGATGGCTCAGTGGTTACGAGCACTGTCTCTTGCAGAGGACCTGGGTTTGGTTCCCAGCACCCACATGGCTGCTAACAACCATCTGTAACTATCTGTTCCAGGAGTTCTGATGCCCTCTTCTGAGCTCTGTGGTCAGAACCCAACACAGGTGCACTTACATACATGCAGGCAATACACTCATATACACAAAATAAAAAATAAGGAAAAAACAAATGTGAGTACCTGAGTTCAATCCCCGAACCTACAAAATTTTGGCCAACAAGATAAAGGTAAGGATGCTTGTCACTGAAACTTACAAATTTAGTTTGATCCCTAGAGCCCACATGGTATAAGGAAAGAAGCAAGTCCTGCATGTTGTCCTCTGACCTCCACATGTACACTGTGGTATATGTGCCCTACCCAATAAATAAAAATGAAAAACAACAACAAAACCCATGAGAAAAAGAGCTAGTTGGTAATCCTAGCACCGAAGAGTCAGATCCCAGGGGCATACTGGCTGGCCAACCTATCCTAATAGATGAGCTCCATGACAATGAAGAGGTCCTATCTCAAAACACAAGGTGTGTGACATCCTGAGGAAGAAGACCTGAGGCTAATCTCTGGCCTTTACGTGTATATGTGTACATGCACCTACACACAGAAACACATATGTCAAAGAACCTTTGAACAATTAGTTGTATTGCAACTAAAATTTTTTCAAAATTTATTTTGTGGGCGGGAACAGGGAACATGTGCATGGCATGGGGCACTTAGAGATCAGAGAACAATTTGTGGAGTTGGTTATGACTTTCCACCATGTGGATTCTGGGGATTGGATTCAGGTTGTCAGGCTTGACAGCACATGCCTTTACCCTCTGAGCCATCATGCCTGCCCAGGCAGTTGTTTGTTTTGCAGTATTTGGAGTCCCATCCAGGACTTGCACATGCTAGACAAGTACTTTACTGCTGAGGCCTATCTCCAGTTCCTAGGTTGTTGGTTTTATTTTGCAGCTTGACTAACTGGCTAATTTTGGAGGAATAGTAAATGTTTCTCTGTTAATCAAGTCTTAATCATGATGGTATGAAATGAATGTTCTTGCATTATCTGAAACCAAGTCATCTTTCAGTCTGCAGTAAACTTGTTCCTATTAGCTAAAAAATTCTATTTAGGTTTGGTCACCATTCTCTGTGCATATACTTT